AACGTGACCCCAGTAGTGAAAGCTTCTGTGGATTATCATAATAATGTGTAGCAGTGGACTTTAACTGTATCATCAAGTAACCATTAATTTCTATAACTCGTTTACTGTATTTTTCATTTTATACGTTTTCAATATTGCTTCACTAACTGGGATTTTTATTCTCATATTTCGTAACGTTATCACGTTTACCGATAGGTCCTCTACACCTCTACCACTCATGAAGAAGAATTCTACTGAAGTTGTCAATGTAGTCGCCTTACTGTATTCAAGTAGGTGATGACATAAACGCTCCTAGTTATTCCCTTGATGGTACACATAAATGAACGCATTCATTAGATTCCCGTTAAATTGAATTAACATCATTTGATTAGTAATGTGACATTATTCACACTAATCGGATTCTCTGCTTGACTGTCGAGATCATAAATGAGTGAGAATACCTAAGATTTACAATAGTATATTGGCGTGATAAAAAGATTACATTCACGAAAACAGGGTTTAAAACGCATAAAAAGCATCAGACAGAATACCGTTCTTTAACATGTCGTAACAATAACTCTAAGTTCTTCTTAGAAGTATTTATTTTAATCCAAATGACTAGTCTATTGAGTGAAGATTAAGTCAGAATTAGACTATGGTTTAATTAAAGTTAGAGTTAGAAATTACTGGTGAGGACTTAGTTTGATACACTTTTATAGATGAAATGTTTTCCTTAAATGCTTAATAGAGTTTTTCACTATTACTCTTTACACACAAATGAACCTTTTTAACGCACTTAGTCAGTTCATGCTAATTGGTGAGATCATTCGCTTGGTTCACTTTAGTTTAACTCTTCCACCTTCAAATGGTTGACTCACTCTGTGGTGTTATTGTTAGTGAAGTCAAAAGCGAATTCATTGTTGTGAAAGTTAGAAAGGCAGAAACCGATACTTGTGAATTCTTTCTCAAATATTTGCAGAAACGGTCTAAAATACCAATTAAAAGCTGTAGATAGTATGATAGCATGACAGTCAAATTAACATTATAGTCTTGTAATCACATACCAGAGAAGTAGTGATGTCTGCAACTACAAATTTAGTGCATAAAGTAGTAATGGAAAAGGAGATAAAAACTGAATAAAAGAATGATTATTTATTATGCCATTATTAGATATTAATTACAAATTATCTGGAAAATGTATCATACTGTGCAGAGACGCAGCGTCCTCTTTAGTGGTTACGATCCATTGACTACACACTGGCTCGTCTACATTTGCTTGAATGAATGTATATCATTATAGGGAATAAACAAGCCGACTTAGGAACTGTGTGAAATAATAAGATGAAAGTCTAAATTAGTAAAAGATATTATAATATTATTATAATATTACAGATATTAGGGGCAGTGTGTCATAAAAGAAGACGATTATTTGCAGAAATATTTCAGTCGACTTCTAAAAATTAAACAGTTTATTCCGGAGGTACAATTCACGGTGTATATATCGTTGGCGTAGTGTTCACTTGCAGCTGCTGCCTACTGGTTGTCCAATATGCTTTGTACGAGGATGAGAGTCTCTGTAAATTGTAAATAGTACAATACGAAAATTAATAAGACGGGTATATAGTTGAAGTGAATGAGAAGAGGAAGAAGAAACTCAGACAAAAAAAGTCTACTTACAATCCCGCGAAAAGCTATCATTAAAAAAACATGTTGATTGAAACAAGACTGAAACAAAAGATATACAACAATGTCACTTTTTACATATAAGAAGAAATGCACAAAATAACCAACCTGGACTGTACATAATATTCTAAATATTTTACAGTTTTGTACATAAATGAGGGTTTTTGCCGTGTAAAAGAGTTACGCACTGTGTATGATGACCAGTTTCATTTTGTTTTTTGAAATAATTCCACTGGGTTGAGAGCAATCAACAATCGGTTGTGTTATTTATCTATTGTTTCAAACTAGAGGCCTGCCTGAATCACTGAACCACCTGAATTTTGATCCGAGATAATGATTCTTACTTACCTTAATTATTTTGCAACTATCCGATCAAATCTTGATCACAGTTCGTATGAACTTATTTACCTTAGTTGTTGTTTTTGTAATTCAATACGTCTGTGGTTCGCCAGGGGTAATTGTGCACATTTTTAATTAGTTGGAAACCTACAGTTGCTCAATTCTGGGGGACCAAAGAAAAATACCATAAAGGATTATTTTATTTTTCACATCTAAAATCATTGAGTGATGTACTGGAGATGGCGGTTTTACCTGAAACGCCTGGATGAAGATAAAATACTATACCATAAACTGCTCTGAAAATTATGTATATTGTGTAAACGTATCGTGCATAATAGAACTATTATTATTATTAGTTCAATCAGTAGTCCATTTCAGCTAAAATTTTACTCCACAATGTTAATTATTGTCACCATTATTTTGTTTTGTTATTATTGCTTTGGGTTCCCAGTCGAACATAGCTCTTCAGCAGTACATGGCCATTTCATTCCGTTCTCCACAATTGCTTACAAGTCTTCATTTTCTTCTCACATCATCCCCTTATGTCGTCCTCAGACTCCCAAGTGGTCTTCTTCTCAGTGTAAAACCAGTTCACCTTCATCCCCTTCTGCATATTTGCTGGGTGATTCACAGCTTATCAGATTCCTTACTAAAAAGCCATCTGTGTATCGGTGGCACAGTGGTTAGGACTCTCGCCGACCCTGCACACGGTCCGGGGTTCGATCCGCTGCCGACACGCACCTGAAATCTATGGTCGGCCTGCGAAATTCGGGCTACCGATATCCATGCTGAAAATTCTATACTTGTACCGAAAATACGGTGTGGAATCTAGCTGTAATCAAAAATAAAAAAATGAAATAAAATTTCCAGTGTTGATCGGATACAGATGCTGATGAAGGTCTGCAGCAGCCTGCCGTAAATGCTTTCGATGAGACTTGCGTCAAGTCTTTAAACCGCAGAAAAGCACTGACTTACTCGACATTAGTATTCGAGTTTCAGATCTTGCTCTTTGTGCAGAGTGCCATAATTGTCCACACTGACTTCTGAGTAATGAAGGTCTATCTCACCTTTCCGATCCTCATCAGCTTCAAAAACCTTATCCTTTCCACCTGTATATTATAAATGAGTCGATTAAATTTATTCTATCACGTTAATTTTTCTCTATAATTCAAGTTTATGAAGTGGAAAGTTATAAAACAAAGATTGTTTATCAATGAATAAAGGAGTTAAAAAATATTATTTGTTTAAAAGCATTCTAGATTTACTATACTGCTGAGGCATCCTGTAGATAAAAAAGAAACTCATTCAGCAGATATAGCTTACTATCAAGTTAGATTTCACTACCAACTGATATCAATTAAAAAAACATTGAAAATCATGGAGTAAAGAACTGCTGTTTAGTTCTCAGCAGTATGCACATATGAACCATGGGGCGGGCGTCACAAGTAAAAATAAAATAAATGAAAATATTCAACAAGACAAAAAGAAAATAAAAATGACATAAATTAGTAGATAGTTCTTGCTAAAGCCAAATTTATGCTTAGCTAACCATGGATTGTGCATAAACAACTCACATTAGTAGAATAGCGTTCCAGCTAAAACTGTTTACTGCAACCATTATAACTGTCAACTTCAAGCGGCGATAAAAGACCTCAAGGCATTTTAATAACATTTACAATTGCAGTGTTCTGTTACTTAATTGTTGATATGTTCGATTCCTATATTTTAATTGTTTAGTATTTAGTAAACCGTTTTTGTATGATGGATTCCACATTAAGTTATGATTTTTCATATTCATCAGTAGTATATTCTGGGAAAGATTCTAAAGAGAATAAATACTGTACAGTATTCATCAACGAATGAATAACCAGTGTCAGCAAAATATTTGATTGTTAAATTCCTTACAGAAGCAATTCTGCAGGCTAGTGTTTCTGAGTAGTTTAAGGAAAGAACTATCACCGCATGGCACATATGCCTAGCTTCATATGAACAACTGAACTGCTGTACGTGCAAAAAGATGATCGAATGCGATTTCTTGTCTTCAAAATTGCTGGAAAAAGGACCGATCAGCTGGAGAACACTTGTCGCCTTCTTCTTGTTTATCTTCTTCAGTGGCTTTTCCACCGATACACAAGTTGTCATTACTCTTCTAAAGATGTTACTCGATATAATACTACTTATGTCTATTTCCAAGTGCCATTCACTACCGTATGATTTGTCTCATAAATTTCCTCTAGTGATTGACAATTTTGCATTATTTTACTGTTTAGAATGTTCGTTTCTTTTTATTACTGTTTATTGCAAATGTAAAATACACACGGTTCTGCAGAATAAGAACTGCTGACTTCTGTACTCTCTGTGTAATTTTGTTTTACTGGTGTTCAGCAATCACAGATTACAATTACAAACAAATATTGCATTTCCATAAAATCTGAAGAATAACAGACTGGAATATTTAAGCAGGAAATTCACTAAATACTTATAAAATAGTTTGTCAAATATGACAGTGTAAAAAGCGTATGGAGGTAACACTGCCTTGCAACGCACTTTGTTAACTCTATTATGTCGTCTGACTGAGCATGGCTGTGTTACATAGGTTGAATAGTATATATATATATATATATATATATATATATACTGTTGGTTGTTCACGGTCATTAAGTAGGTGAGTCATTTAGGTTATGATTCTCTGACTGAAATCAGTTCATGACGAAATCTACCTGGGAATGGATCATTTCGGTTCTCCAAAACCAAATGGACAATCGCATAATCGACTAAATCATTATCATGGAGAGGTTAAAAATAATGAAGTGAATATGTGAACATAATTATCAGCCTACTTAGTTAAAAGTTTAAGATTACCGACTAAAGATCATATGACTCATATTAATCAATTTAATATTTTCAAAAAATACCGGCATACATCTTTTACAGTAAAGGCAGAATACAAGGCAGGAAAGGCAATCTGTAAATTGAACATTACGAGAAGGCAAGAAAAAATGGATTGCACTTACGATTTTGATTATGTTGTAGCGTTTAAGCCAGAGAAAAAGTCTACTTTGCAAATTCGAATTGATCAATTTTATAAATTACAGAAAAATTTAAGCATACAAGAAAATAAGCAATTAGAACTGACAACTGGAACAATAATGAAAGATGACAGCAGCGAAAATAAATTCACTCCATCAAATGCTGTCTCGAATGTTCCGATACAAAGTTTAACTAAGCAACAAATTAATATTCCGTCAAAACAAGCTCTGAAACATAAAGATAATAATTATTACGACGAATCAGATCCATCTTATTCGTATACTACTACGACTACAACTGGCATCAATACTGAGACTGCAAAAACTGTTAAAACACGAACACCAAAATATCAACAAACTGATAACAAATCTAAAAATGGTCAAATCGACACCCTGGAGGGAATCACACAAACAGCCAAGCGTAACACTGATACACTAACCGACTCAAATATTAAAGACTGCACAGATTATCAATACTCAGCTTTCAGTAGTATGAGATTACCATTTCGCCGTTGGATATTGCATAATTCGGTAATATATATTGGTGGTACATTGCAATATTTAACTACTCCGGATAGAATTCCATTGGATGATGAATTAGAGTTTATCATTGATAACTGTTATAAACACAGAATACGACATAAATCTGAATTATTCTTGAAAAGACTTCCTATTTTACAGACATCCGGTACTGTTTAGACAATTTCATTATGTTATTTTGAAAATTCAGGTACACTTTTACTATTGGACAATGAAATAACAGTGATCACTTTATATTACCAGATGTGTTTTTGTAAGTGTAGGGAAAGAAGTAAATTTTCAGAAGTAAGCACAACTACAGTGAGCAGAAGAATAACGAAAAATATATTTAGAGAGGAAAGTTTCACTGGAATTATTTGGTTTTTTGTGGAAACATACAGAATTCCCTTTAATTCTCACTGAGTTTATTAATTAAATACCTAAATTGTATGATCAAAACTGATACAGTGTTCATTTGAAATTGCATTCACTGTGTTTAACTAATTTTTTGTCAATTGTAATAAAATAATTTATTTACCGCTTGGTATTTGTAATGAGTATATACACATATATACAAATTACTTTAAGAGTGTTCTTTCGGAATGTTCTCCTATTTTGGAGCTTTTTAAATAGTTGGCTGATTTCAAGCACTTCACATTATTCATGGACATGATAATGAAGCGTTACTGATTCATTAGGTGGCTAGGGAATGTGCTACGCATGTTAAGAAACTATTTTCCGTGCTGAACAACGTTTACTGAGATAGAGATAGGTTGAAAAGGAGTCGGAGGTGATCGAAGCAACCAGTTCTAGTCACAATAGTTGCTGCGAACAAGGAAAATCGCGTTGCAATCCAAGTAGACTACAGTTGACTGGAGTTCTAGCATATCATATCAACGAAATATGCAGTATTTGCATTTCGTCAAGCGACTACATTATTCGCCTTGTGTAACTAAACGTATGCGATGTTAACCATGCTCGTGATCAACTTTTACCTCACCATAACTTTCAGCCTAATGATAGCTCCTGAAGTTAGTGCTCACTAGTAACCCTGTAATTCTAATATGCATTTCAAGTAATTATTTCCTTTTCGTAGACTATTTCAACCCATCAAGTGATTTACTATTTATGTCAGCAATTATTTTGAGACATGATGTAATGGTAGAAGAAGCCTCGTATGTCTCCTTCCTCGAAAGCACCCGGCTATGGAGTCTTCATTTTCTGGAGGCAGCGACACTAATTCCAGCAGTGGAAGACGAAGACTTGGTAAAGGGATGTTTATTTGGAGTTGGTATCGATATATAACCATATTATATACGCGTTATCTTCGAATCACCATTTGCACGAATCTTCCATGTTGTGCCTGCTAACTCTGCCATTCATATTGTGTTTCTTTGTCTTCCTTTTCATGCTTCCCAGGTTCTCCACTTGCTTTCTTTGATGTCAAATCTCTCACCCTGCTATTTAATAGTTTTACGTTGCTGAATGCCACTTTATAAGCTACTGAATAATCTTATCAGTAGCGCACGCCACACTCGTCCCCCTATGAAACTGTTCGGAGAGGAGTCTTTCCGACCTCTTTGGTTCTATTCCTTCCTCTTGTACCTCGATCGCGGCTTCCTTATTCCATTGAATCCATTTCTGCAGCTGGCTGATTTTTACGCGTTTCTGCTCATTTCCTTTTTTGACGGTATAAACGGAACCACGTCTCTCGGTGACAGTATATAGCCCTTTCCACTTCAAAAGGAGTTTCCTTGTATCTGGTCCGCATCTAACCGCACTTCACTTGATCGCCGACTTCAAAGGTATACATCCCGTCTTTTCTCTTTGTTCAGATATCTCGACGTTTTTATTCTGTTTATGCTTTACATTCCTGACGGTTTCTTTCCGTTCCGTTCACAGCTTCATCAATTCCACTCTTCGGGGGGGGGGGCGGTTGTGCTGTTTATAAGTAGTCATGGTTTCCTCCCATACATCAACCAAAATGATGAGTTCTTTGTTGCTTCGTGGCTGGAAGCACGATGTCCTTGTAGAATCAGTGGAAGCTCTGTCACTCAGATACCTCCCTTCAAGGCCCGCCACTCCTTCAGTGTGCGATTATTTCTCTCTGTCTGACCATTTGCTTGTGGATGATATGGTGTTGTTCTGGTCTTCCTGATACCCAGCTGATGCAAGTGGGAAGTGAATTTTTCACTTTCAAAACAAGGACTTTCATCCGTCCTTGGTATACCATAGTCTGCGACGATGTGTAAGTCACGGTCCTCGTGCGTTAATCAGAGACCACAAAGACGTCAACACATCGTGCAGCCTGTTCTGTCAAAACGCAGGTGTACTGGTTGTCTTTGGAAATGGACCCATCGCATCTACAGACCCCAAGTCACCTACTGCCACAAATGGAATTGGTTGCAGGTTTGGTCATATGCACTGACCTCCTTTCATCAACTGGTATAGTGGATATCCGAATACATATTTTACCACATATTCTCTCATGCCTGGTCAGTACAAGCTTTGTTTCGAGTGGTTGGTTGTTCCCACTATTTTTGTTTGTGCCAGCTGATGAATTTCTTGCATCGTCTCATGGTGTAGAGACTGAGATATTACAGACAACCAACTACAATCGTTTTCATGCTAAATCAGAGGCCCTTAGACGGTCGACTTTAACTGGTCCTTCTGCACGAGTAGAGTGGTCGGCTCCTTAATCTCCACAGGATGATTTAATTTCACTCCGTAGAACATCGACTATATTAGTGAATTCAGTGTATGTTCAGAATTCTAAGCGCGGGCAAATCTAGATGGGTCTTCTCCAAAACTATGCACTTAGTAAACAATCTCCGGTAACTCAGGCGAAATTTTCAATATAGATAAAAGTCTACCAAGAAGTCTTCTGTGTAAGTTATGTGTGGGATCTTGAAGTCATGCTCCTTAAGGCTCAGCGACCAAAGCGACATTTTCGCACGTGTGTCTCTTGTCGTCTTCAGAAACTATAGCGACCTGTGATCAGTTTCCATTTGGAACTGTTGGCCGAATAATTACGGTCTCCATTTGTCTACTGCCTAGGCTACTGCAAAACGTTCTTTCTTAATCGTTGAATATTTATGTTGTGCGTGTGGGCGTGCGTCAAAACACGACCGGCATATTCGACATACTCTGTTCTGTCTAGGTGCTACTGTAGGCGGCTTTCTAGAGAGTTCAGTAACAGAGTGAATATTTGAATAAAAATCCAAGTTAATGAGATGATAGTGTAACAGTATATTATAAAAGATACAGTAATGAGTTATGTGAATTAATTGGTTACTTGGTTATTCAGTTAAAGTCCACTGCTACAAATTATAGATATAATCCACAAGTGTTCACTGCTGGAGTAGGGTCTACTGGTAGAATCTGTTCACCTGTCGTAGAATAGTTTTCCGATAAGGATAAGAGGTTTCTGCAATACCCAAAGCATAAAACAAGGTTAGTAGTGTTATAACGGTAGAGAATTCAATGATGACGTTTTCACCTTATTCTGTCTGCGCCTGAACTAATCTGTCTATCTGCTCGTCGTACCTTCCGACTTGGTAAAGCACGCAAATATCAAAAGACAAAGGCTGGACTGTGACTGTGTATTGAGGTGCAACAACGATAAAGAAAGCCATGGTATTTATACATTTTACAACAATATGGACAGCTAACAGCATTTGAAATAATTGACCTTAATAGCCAATAACAAAGTGTGTGAGAAATCATAATATGCCATATGTGCGACATTGACAGTCAGTAACAAAATGTGTGGGAATGATATACCATATATACAAAATTAGCAGTCACTACCAAAATGCGTGAGAATGATAATATACAAAACTAGCAGTCACTACCAAAATGCGTGAGAATGACAACATACCATAAATGCAAGTTTAAACAGTCAATACCAAAATATGTGGGATCCTATCACCTCCCCCCGTAAAGAGTGTAGGACTTGCTTTTTGGATGTATTTGCAAAGGTTTCGGAGCTCTTCTTTGTCGAGTTGACCTTTGCGTGGTACTGGATAGAGCGTGATCTGTATGTCTGCCACATAACTGTCCTTTTTCATTTGTACGATAATGCAGCAAGAATTTATCCAAAATTTTTCTGTTGTTCCCTCCCCCTTCGCTTTTGCATAAGCACGCTTAAAGGTGTCGACGAAACGTTCAGTCTGTCCATTCGAGTGGGGATGATACGGGGGGCTACGAATATGCTGGATGCCAAACAGTTTGCAGCAACCAAGTTTGTCCTGAAAGACAGAAGCGTGCTTTTGACGACGGCGTTGCAAGAGAGATTGATGAGATACATCTCCGGGAACAACGTTGTATGGTGAAGACGAAACATTAGAGCATACTGAATTTAATGGTACATTAAAGATATGGAGCTTGTCTAACCAGTCAAGACCAAGCAAATCCAAATCATGGTAGTTTGTAACGTAACATACACCATTGAAGTGATGCTCACCAAACTGAACCTGGCAATTGATCTCACCCACGAGTTTCAGTTTATCTCCAGAGACATTCTTGGCGAAATGCTCGGTCGGCAGAATCTGTGGGCAACCAAGTTTGCGCCACGTAGTTCGGGAAATTACGGTGATATCTGATGCCGTATCCAACTGAAGACGAATACGTTTGCCATTAATATCTAGTGTTATGTACTTACGTTTGCTGGCGACATCGACTTTGGAAGTTGTATAAATAGTCTGTACTCGAGGAGATTGTTTCGGCTCGAAACGACTACTTCTGTTCCTCATCGAAGGATTTTTCTGCGGTGGACAATAACCCTCCTTATGTCCAAAACGGTGACAATTACGGCACTTATGCTTCTTGAACGGACAGAATTTGACAAAATGCCACGAACCACAGTGCCAGCACACTGAAGGAGGTTTAGCTGAATTTTGAGACTGACGTGCTGTGTGCTTAACAGTGATCGGAGGACTTTTCACTGTGTTAATCGAACCAAATTCAGACGACTGTCGTTTGCACTCCACCATAGCAGTATCGTGCTTCAAGTTGATTAAACGTAGGCATTCTGCTGTCACCATTTGTAAGGTCATTTTCGGGTCTTGTTCCACAAGTGACAGAAGTCGAGTTCGTATGTCAGTATCTTCTGGGTTCTTCAACCCACAAATAAAAATCAAACACTTGAACTGATCGGGTGTCATTTCGTGTGGCTTGAA